GAGCTGCATATGGGAGGCGGAGTAGGATACAGGAACCAGAACTCCCAGTTCCTCTAGACGTTTCAGTTCAGCCTCGACAAGTGGTAGAGCTGCATATGGGACTGGTCGCTTTGGACGGAAGACTGGTTGACTTCCAGGAGACAGATGTAGCACGGCTTGAGTGTATGTGCAACGACCCAGGCCGTCTTGGAACACTGGAACAAACCGTTGGAGAATGTCCTTGGCTTGGTCTGCAAGCACAGCGGGAACCTGCACCTGACTGCAAACAATGCGGAGCGGCATATCGGCCAACCCAAGTTGTTCAATCCAGTCGAGACCAAGTAGGTTTAGATCAGACTTGGTGATGTAGCAGATCGCAGTGACGCTGGTACCGCGGAACGACACACAGCATTGCAGCTGCCCAATTAGCTGTACGAGACCACCGCACGCGCTTGTGGCGGACTGAGAAGTCTGCTGGATCGTTGGGCTGCCAAGGGACTGCCAGAGTCTCTCAGAGATGATGGTGATATCTGAGGCAGTGTCCAGCTGCAGACGAACTGCATGGCCATTGAGCAAGACATCAACAAATTTTCTACGACCAGACGCATTGAGCTGGAAAGCGGCCAAAAGACTGAGAGAATTACCCACGGACTGGGGTTTGGGCTTGCGTTTTGACCGGAAACGGTGCCTGGAATTAGGAGTGGCGGGGGCTGGCTTGCCTCCAGAAGCTGGTAATGATTTGCAGAACCAATCACGGTGTCCCACCTGATTACAGCTTTGGCAGCGATGCTGGCGGAAAGTGCAATCCCGGTGGAAATGCCACGCGCCACAGTGCCGACAAGGAGATGGCGGAGATCTCGACTTGGACACTTGCTTGGGCCGTGTAACAGGATGCGATTTGGTCGATGTGACCGTATGGACTGAGAAAGATGAGGCCGCGTTCTGAATCATTGCAGAGTCGTGCTTGAGATTGATCAGTGTTTGGCACTCTGCTGCCAGCTCTTGGAGTGTGGTAGAGTTGTTCTGCTGCACTTTGGACAGGAGACGTGTCCGGATATCAGCATCCTTGGGGAACTGGAGGCCGCAGATAAATATAAGGCATTTAAACTGGTCTTCAGTGAGAGAACCGAGTTGGAAACGCCCACACTCACGATTAACAATGCCCGCGTACGTGATGAAATCATCGGAATCTCGTTTGCACAGTTGCAAGCACTGAAATCGAGTGTTGAAGAGGGATGATTGCTCACCAAAAATCTGCGACAACGTCTGAACCGTGTCCTTGAAAGCGACTTCCCGGGGATTCTTGGGAAGGATGAAGTTTGCATAACGCTCGTGTTCAGCCGGACCCAGTTTGCGAAGTAGAAGTCGGACCTTCCATGCATCGTCCTGGGCAGCCAGATCGACAGAGAACAAGTCCTCGTATCGCTTGTACCAGGAATCAAAGGTGATATGGGCCTGCGGGTCATACAAGAATTCGGTGATGCTGCCGGCAATGTGATCAACAGATTGTGAAGCACCAGCCGCGCTTGATTGGCCCATAGATGAATTGGATAGCTTGACGGTCAGAGCCTCCATCAGCTTCAGCTGCTGCTGCAACATCTGCTTCAAGTCTGCGTACTCGTCAGCCATTGTAGTTGAGAAACTGCGTCGCCAATTTGTTATGACCCGCCTGGTACTTGAAATCCCGTGGAGCGTATACGCACTCGACCCTGGTCCCCAATATCAAGGCAGCAGACAAAGAACACACGGCTGGCCACGGAACGTGTGTTAGCAAAACAATGCAAGTCACGTCTAGCTAAGGGTGACGCATATTTATCACACGCTAGCGTGGTTCGCCGGCACTCGGTCCAATGACCTTCGGGAAGAGGGGAGTAGCCAATGGGAAAGCGCCTGATTGAGATGACAGCGCGGTAGAGAGAGAGCAAACGCACGTGATCTCCATTGATCGGTTTGCTCTTGTTTTTGGGAGTGTAGGCACTCCCAACAAACAGTTAAGGAGCTCCCAGGAGGATTATCTAAGCCGCTGTCCATGCTCTTCTAAGTTTCGTTCGAATCAGGCTATTTGGCCGCCTATTGGGAATATGCACGGATTATGCCACTTTATAAAGGCAGCAGAAAGGTCTTAGCAAATGATTACAGAGCAATCAGTCTCAAGTTAATCTGCTGCAAGATTATGGGAAAAAAGATTAAGCGAGAAATAATGCACTTCCTGGAACACAATAATCACCCATGCGACGACCACCACGGATTCCGTAGAGGCAGATCACGCGTGACAAACCTGTCTTATTGTTTTGAGCGCTGGAAACGGGCAGTTGATGGAAGGAATGCAATGCATGTTCTCTATGTCGGCTTTAAGAAAGCACTCGATAGCCAACTATATCAGCAACACCTGTACAAACTAAACCGAACGAACGTTAGATATAACCTCCTGAGGTGGATATAAAACTTGTTCGTCGGTCGCACTGAAACCGTCCATGTCGGTGACCGGCAGTCAAAGGAGGTAGCAGCTGAAAGCTGTGTTCCTCAATGCTAAGTTCTTGGTCCTATCCTGTTTATTATAAACGCCAACGAATGCGTCAGTGAACTGAATTTTGATGTCGTCATGTTCGCTGGTCATTTAAAATTGGAGTCTCATGCGAACCGAATTTGGCAAAGAACGTCTTTAGGCAAACCCGAACCAGCTCAAGAAGTGGTCCCTAGACTGGCTTTTGCCGTTTTATTTGACTGAGTGCAAAATTTTGCGAGTCGGTGGAAGCTGCTCTTCTAACCTCAGGGTTTGCCACCTAAACGGCGTATCATTACAGGAGGTGGACGCACAAGAGGACTCGCCTGTATGGGTTACACCTTCGCTTAAACCCTCATCTCCCGCTCTAAGGCAGAGTCCGCGATGTCAGCCCTGTGCCTTGTTAAGTAGGCATTCTCGACCTTCGATGAAGACAATTTTGCTAAAGCCTTTCAGGCGTTTGTGTGGTCACAACTGGAGTTTGTTATTTAAGTTGGACAATACTAGACCGTTACAGACCTCAGGATTCTAAAAAAGTTCGAAAGCGTGCAAGCAAACTCGGTAGTGGACAGGGTTACCTACTCAAAGAAACACGGTTATTCAATCACGACCTCATTCCTTCGAGTCACGGACAGCTCGAAGCGACTTGATACAAACATTCCGTACAATGCGCGGTCAGCTCTGCCGTCTCGTACCTAGAGATTTGTGTGAGTTAGCAACCACAAAAAACTATCGTGGTCATCCAATCAAACTACGTGTGACTGGAACCAGAGTGAACATGCAGGAGTTCTGCTTCCCTACACAGCGGTTGAAGCTTGAAATGCTCTGCCTGCAGATGTCGTCATGCCTACATCCATTGAGGCTTTTAAGAGCAATCTGGATTAGTCTGCCGCTACACGTCATAATGTCACCAGACCGATATCGTCCTAACGTTCCCTTCTAACAACTTAATGCCCGTTACAATATTAATGCCAATACTTAGGTAAAACTTGTTTTTTCAATTTACCTATTTGGCGCAAATTTGATTAAACTCGCATCGTCCGGTGGGGCCTCGTGGCTCAGATGGTTAGAGTGTTGGCCGTACTAAAACCTACCCTTGCTGTCGTGGGTTCGAATCCCACCGAGGCACCGAGTTTTTCACAGTTGGGACAAAGTGAATTTACTTATTAGCACGAATTTATCGCACGCGGGGAGTGACATTCATTTGGGCTCCTTCGGATGACTTAAATCGTATTACTGTTTCCAGAGCACACTTTCGCACAGACGGACTACTGTTAAACGTTCTTAGTGGTGTTAGTAATTATAAGAATTGAGATAATTCGTTTATCTCTGCAAGTTCGATAATCCTTCTTCAGCTGTTTGATGTCTCCGGTTTCTACCTTTTTGATAAACACCCCTCCAGTGCAACATATGGGTAGTTTAAGGGTGCAGTGCCTATATTCCCCTCCAGTAAACTGAACTGAAATGAATTCTCACTAATAACGATAAGTGTCAGTTCAATGTCGTTGTCAAAAAAGTAATGGTATAGATCGAGCAAGGAATGATAAATACTCCCGAAGGATAATTATAGGAGGTGGTGTTTTGGATAGTCTGCGTAGATCAGGAGAAACAAACTGCTACCCGCAGAAGGATGTCAGTCCAGAAGGGGAATTTCTAACACTGCATATGATGTTCTCTGTCTCTATTACTTTTCATGGAATTGGAACTGCATCAAGCAGGGTGTACGAGAGAATATTAGTTCATTGTTTTCCAAGGAATTTATTCGCTGAGTGCGTGCTACAGAGTCAGCACCATTTCCCGCTAGATGAAACCGGACAGCTGGATCGGAGACCACGAAGTCTACCATTGCGGTAAACTAATTCGGTGGATTGAGCGCTTGAAAATTGTAAAAGTCTTTCTAAGTGCGGAAAACGAGTGATAATTCCTTTAATCAGAGAAAACATTTGCAGAACTCTCACAATCCTGAAACGCTTGCCAACAAGTTCAGGGACACAGCCATGATAATTTCTGTTATATCTGCCAGCCTCGTCCAAGGGAACCTTAACCCCGGAGTGAACACCAGAGTTCCAAATTTGAGTTAGTCCGCTGGACGTAGATTATTTATTTTATTGGTTATTTAGATATGACAATCGATGTGCAGAGGATTTCGATATGCCTCGTCTGCAACTTCCAAAGAGTTTAAAATATTGTTGAACTCTTAAACATGCCATACACCTGGCAACCGACGCGTTAATTGGCTTTGTCACTTAACATCGTTTTACATAGAAAACGTATGGATGCAGTTCAGCGCAGGAAACACTATTAAGAAAGTCCAGAGGTGATAAGCTGCAATAGGATTCTCGAATAATACACGTGGTATTGTGGCAGATACTAGGAAGGATACACCTCACGCATCGGCCTGGTCGGTCACTTGCGAATCCATCGCACAGAGACTGGCGAACCAGTGCCTGGAGCACCAACCTATACCCACCAACCTCGACTCAACTGTCCACACTGTCCTCGCACTTTCAGGCACCGCATGGGCCTATTCGGTCACATGCGCATCCACGAGAGCGGAATTGACCACAATTCCGACATAACCACCACATCCAACACATCCACCATGCCCAGCACCACCCCTGCTCCATCGCCATACGCGCCCATCACCACTGCCTCCTCTACAGCTGACACCGACTCCACCGACCTCTCATGCCCACACTGCCCACGCACGTTCACCTCACACATCGGCCTGGTCGGTCACTTGCAAATCCATCGCACAGAGACTGGCGAACCAGTGCCTGGAGCACCAACCTACACCCATCACGCTCGTCTCAACTGCCCACACTTCCCTCGCACTTTCAGGCATCGCATGGGCCTATTCGGACACATGCGCATCCACGATGACCTGCGGTAGACAACCGCCGGTTACACCACACATCCACACACTCCCTACCTTCCTCCACCATCACCACCACACATCAACACGCACCCAACTGCCACCTCCCACGCAAGTGGGAAGTCCGCATCTCGACTCGGTCCCCATGAGGCTTCGGCTGCACGGGTGACTTGAGTCCGAGACTATCCCGACACGTCGAGCGTCGTGGATAGGAAGGTTGCTGATTGACGCCCGCTCTCGGCTCACGCAGTTCGTCGCGTTGTGTGTGTGTGTGTTGTGTGGAGTGGCGGACTGGTGGGCTGAGGACGGGCTGAAGCTGCACCTTCCACGGCTCTCTCACGCAAGTGAGAGACACGCCGTTCAATCAACCCGCGTTGTGTGAAATCCTGGTGTTTGTGTGTGTATCGGGGGCCAGGTCGTGCCGTGGCGCGCGCAGTCATGGCCAGTCGACCATGACAGCCACCGCGCCCACTCCCCACTCCAGTCTGCTGACCGGCTCGGACAGCGGCTGGGGTGTGGGAGTGGGTAGCGAGAGTGAGGTCGACGACTCAGCGCACTTTCTCCTCACTATAAACAATCTGACGCGCTTGAAGCTATCACGGTGCGCTAAAAGCCGTGGCTTGGAAGGTTGCCAACTGACGGGGTAACTTGGACCTCCTCCTTGACTGGAGGCGGTCTGAGAGTCAGGCTGCAATGGCTCCTTTTTAATGTGGCCTTTATGGCACTCCCACCACAGTGTGGGATCCGAGCCAGGCGTTGGCGGTACGCCTAGGTGCGGCTTCGGCCGTGCCAGCCTCCAAATCTCTCTTGTGTTGGTTGAAATCCTGGTTATTGTTGTGTGGACCAGGGGGTGTGGTGGAACGCCAAGGTGAGGATCCGTCCGAGCCATCCACCTGCGGCCTCCCTCGTCTCCGGTCTTCTGGACTCTGTCTTGACACCGGGGGCGGGCGAATGAGGAGGAGAGAGTGTAGGTAGATGCTACGCAAGTCTACTGGCACTATAAACCCCTGTGTAAGTCACCGTCCCTGCTCCCACTGCTGCTGCAACTGTGGGGCACACGGTGGACATCATCGAAACCGATGGTCGAACTGTCAGGAAGGATACATATTCTCGCATCATATTTTAACACAAACCTTGAACTTAACCCTAAGCTTAACTCTAACCACCATTTTAATTATAATCTTAACGCTAGCCATGGCTACAAGTTTAACCTTAAACTTAACCCTAAATGCGATCTGCCCGGAATTTAGCTCATCGTCACCTGTGTTATGGGGTTAACCATTCTTGAGAATGGGAAACACCGTATTAGTCGTACAAAATCGTGTTCGACTAATACATAAGATAAGCCGGTACATGTAATTTCAACGCCTTCGCATGAGACAACTTAACTGCAACCTGTTGTAGACTTCAGTATTCTCCGGAACCAGGACTTATTTCTATAATCCAATGACTTATTTGAATGTAGAGACAAGGTCCGCCTATGGGCTGAAGACCAAACACGAGTGTTTGCGCCTAGTCAAAAGGAGCTCATTTTCGTGGTTGGAGTTATTGGCAGACGATAGTATTAAAACCCATGTCATGAATGTCTTGGCGTCACAAGTTACGCTACAAGCAGCACGGGTATTACCCAAAAGCCTAGACACGCGTGTTTCGCCAACATTCTGCCGTTGCATGGCACAGCTGTGAGGGGTTCGGCTCACCAGACGTCCTCTAGCATAACCCGTCTGTTTTAGGCATTCTTGTTTTGTTCCTATTGACCCAACTGTGAAAAACTCGGCGCCTCGGTGGGATTCGAACCCACGCAGTAAGGGGAAGGCTATAGCGCAGCCAACGCTCTAACCACCTGAGCTACGAGGCCCCGCCGGACGACGCGAGTTTAATCACATTTGGGTCAAGTTACCCGCCCAACCTACTGCAACGTCTGGAATCCACCAAATCTGATACAGTAAGTTGACTGCCCCAGCAGGATTTCCTAAGTAATTCACCTAGAATCCACCAGATGACTACCAGGCTCGCGTAATTCATTGATGTTTTGGCAGATTTTTGGGTCAATAGGAATAATTCAAAAATCTGCCAAAACATCAATGAATTACGCGAGCCTGGTAGTCATCTGGTGGATTCTAGGTGAATTACTTAGGAAATCCTGCTTGGGCAGTCAACTTACTGCATCAGCTTTGGTGGATTCCAGACGTTGCAGTAGGTTGGGCGGGTAACTTGACCCAAATGTGATTAAACTCGCGTCGTCCGGCGGGGCCTCGTAGCTCAGGTGGTTAGAGCGTTGGCTGCGCTAAAGCCTTCCCCTTACTGCGTGGGTTCGAATCCCACCGAGGCGCCGAGTTTTTCACAGTTGGGTCAATAGGAATAATTCAAAAATCTGCCAAAACATCAATGAATTCTTGTTTTGCTAATAGAAACGAAGAGGCAAGTTCCAGGAAGTAGTCGCGAGAAAGGAGACACGATCGCTGGAACAAGAACTTTATTAACCTAGCTCTGATCTTCCGCGCATTGGCACTCTCACTTCGAGAGATCAGTTTTACGCCACGCGCATCTCCTCCATGGGGATGCCGCCGCCTTTTTGCTCTACATTTAAGTGGCCCCTCCTTTTGCATGCAAATATGCCTTCTTTTAGAATAATTTTCCACCAGAACGTAGGTCATCGCCTAAGTTATCGGCACTTAAATCGACAACGGAGGTGAGGACCTGGTCTACACCTGTCCTCATTGAGTTTACACCTTCACCTTACACATCTGTCTGGTCGGTCACTTGCGGATCCATTGCACAGAGGCTGCCGAACCTACACCCGTCACATTCGTCTCTACTGCCCACAATGCCATCGTACATTCATGCACCGCATGAACCTATTCGGCCTCATGCGTATTCACGAGAGCGAAATTGACCGCAATCTCGACACACTTAACGCATCTAGCTACCTGCCATGCCTAGCCCCGCCCTCACTCCGCCATCGTGTGCGCCTACCGCCACCAGCTCCATCACACCCGCTGCATCCTCCACACCCACCACCTTCAACCCTACTCACACCCCGTCGCCCGTCGCCCAGCGCCCACCACCACCACCACCACCGAAGCTGATACTGACACCCCCGATTTCTCATGTCCACGCTGTCCCGCACATCCATCTCGCGCATCGGCCTGATCAGTCACTTGCGACTCCATAGCACAGAGACTGGCAAAACAGTGCCTGGAGCTCCAACCTACACTCGCTACATGCACGTCCACAAAAACCTGCGCAGACCACCGCCGACTGCATCACCACCATCACATCCTCCCTCACCAGCATCTCACACCACATAAACCTCGCCCACCTCAAACATCCAACCGCCTCTTCCACGCAAAAAGGGAAGCATGCGTCTCGGCTCATTCTCTATGTGGCCCGCCAGCTGAATGTGTGATCGGAGTCTGAGACTGCCACGGTGCGTCAAGGGCCGTGGCTCGGAAGAGAACCGACTGAGGTCCCAACTCATTGTGCGCATTCTGTCTAGTTGTGTGTATGTGTGTGTGTGTGTGTTTGTGTGGAGTGGCGGACTAGTAGGCTCAGAGCCAGACTGAAGCGGCTCCTTCTCCAACATTTTGTGACATTCAGGAATGTGTGGTGTGTGTACTCTATGAGTAGTGCCTCTCAGTCGACAACACAGTCGAAGACTGTTTGGTTACCTAACGTTAAAGGGTGACGGCCGAGACTATATGCAGGACCAACTGTCGCCCTCATAGGTCAAAAGGTCTGTAAGCGTGTGCTATGCCAGTATCAGCAAGCCATGGCCAATTTATACAGGCATCAAAATCATGGTGAAAACATAATACCAACTACGTTATCAGGTGGTCGAAAGGGTGTGCATTCAAAAGCCAGCATTCTGGCAAATCGAACATTTTATAGAATTATGTTGCATGACCACTAATATTACAACCCTATCTAAGTAACCCTCCACAATCGAAAATGTATTTTGAAAGTGCGACTATTATTTCATGAGATCGGCCACCGACTGCACATTGACGCTTTCAAGCAAAAATGCACCAATCTAAATGTGAAATAGACGACGTTCCCACCGAGCGGTCCGAGACAATGATCAGAAGATTTGAAGATAAAACCAGAAGCCGCACTTGGGATGGAATTATTAAGCTTGGTTTTTTGCCAACATAACGAAAGATAATTTGCGTCCTCGTGATAATTTAGCCCTATGTTCATATTTTAACATGCCTCCACTAAACTCTTCACTTATATGGTTCTCCGGTTTTTTCCGCAGCAGCGAACGTGATTATTAGTTGGGCAAAATGATGCATTTGCTGATGGTAGTAATTTGCTATTCCGGTATTTTAAGAAGAGAATCAAGAACCCGAATTCTGAGACTGGATAACCCAGTTACGAGCACGCAGTCGGACTGTGTCAGTTGAGTTGCAAAACAGTTGTGAATAAGACCATCAAACTAGTAAACTTTACTCTCTTGTATGAAATGATGTAAAGTAAAACATTCCGTTCAATATAAGAGTCCATAGAAGGCCTGCGTCTGCTAACACTGTCAGTTTTCGAAATGCAACATCCATTGAAGTCGTCCTTTGGTAAAGAGAGAGAGGACCTGGAGCAAATTGTAACCACCCTGTCGGATATTGATGTGTAAAGGTTCAGCCAGTTTAAGATCAGAATTTTCGTGAACAATAGATATAGATAACTGCTTTTACATCCAACTACGGACAGTTGACGTTGAGAATAAACGTATTACTAAACTGTAGTCTTTCTCGTCATTTAAACTATCACACTGCTGACGCCCTATTTATGTACAATACCCCAAGAAAACTTCAGACTCGAGCTCTAATACGACTCGGAGAAATATCCTCTCCCCCAAACTTGCACCAGCCAATCTTCCCGATCACAGTTACCAGAGAAGATACCTAGTGGTTCAAGTAATGGCGCTTTAAACTATTGTGCCCAGTGACTAATTGGACTGGTGCAAGTCGCAGATCGGCTAGTAAGTGTCAGTCCGCTATTGTCCAGTAAATGGTAATAAGTTCTAAAGGACCATTCCGATCTATATTGTTAAAATTCGTTCTGATTTAAAAATGCTGTCATAATATGCGTGTTTTCATCAGGACAGCATGCTGGATTCCTATATGAATCTACACACTAGGAGTTTGAATCAATTATTCAAAGCCATGATGCAGTTTTGGTCATTTTTCTCCTGACGTTACATGATTGTCAGTCGGCATTTCTGCAAAAGAAATCTATTCAAAAATAAAGAGAATGATTTAGAACCGAATTCAAATTAGTTCACACTATAACCCAAAAAAGGAATTTAAGTACAAAGCTGTTTCGCATTTTCCTTTCCTCAACTGTTCACATGTTAGCCAGAATCCACGATCCTGAAATGGTCAGTGAAAAGCACAAACGTTACCCCTTAACAATTCTGATCAAACTGTCAGTTAAAATATGCAACTAAGACAAAACCTGCACTCGATTAAATGCATCACAGGCACGAATTAGAATGGTACTGTTTAGGCGTGACTGATCACGCATATTCAATGCATTGACAGAACAAATGTGCATCATTGAGGCCAGGACCTTGTTAGCACTATAGGTGCAAGTTCTGAGCGAGCGAGTATCTCGTTCTGCTCACCATCACCTAGTGGTGCGTAAGTGGGGACCAGAGGTGCATCCAAGCCCCATGCCAACCGAAGAGTAGAGACGATGATCTGGCACGTGCCAGGCCCCTCCACTAACTCTGAAGCTAGGAGTGGTTCCACGAGCAGCTGACGCAGAAAAACGGCGAGCAGACTGCCAGATAATAATAGGTAATTCAATTGATGTCAGACAACACACAACTGTGATAACCCCTTTGTGCTCCAAATAACTGCCGACTGTGAGGTTTTGCATGCAAAGTGTGTATATGTCGGGTATTCCTGACGCAACTACATCAAAGAAAGCTGCAGTAAATATGAAGACAGTGATAGTAGATGCTTTAGCTGTCATATTCGGACGATTGGAGGGACTGATTTTTTTGGCCGGCCAGAAACACAAAGTATCCTCTGAACCCTTATTGTCTCCGGTATTGTATACATTCTGGAGCATAGAAATGACTTGTCTCCCATCGAAAGGATAAATCGCTGCGTGTTGTACATGTATAGAAGACCTTCATATTGCTCCACGCACGTGTTTATGCAATATGTCGGTATGTTTCTCCTTCAGGAACAGTCTTTAATTTGCACTTTTTAATTTTCTTAGAATTTATCGATGGAGAGCGGAATTAAAATTTTATGCCTAGGACTGGTTCGGATCAGATACCAACTTTGTGTAACCCACTAAGTTGAATGCTTCACACCTTCAACTTTTATCTTTTGGAATAAGTCCGCTCCGATCCCGACTGACATTTATGATTTGAAGGGTAGTCAGTTCGCTTTTCTAGCTGTTGTACCACTTGATATGTCAGATTTGGACGAGTCCAATCCTGTTTAACTTGTTAGCTGATTGTTATTTGCATCTCTTCAGACTGTTTCGTCCTAAAATAGCTAGCGTCAACAGGACCTGGAAATAAGAAATTGTTCTTAAAGTGGCATAACATTTTTATCAAATGAAAAGCCCACCATACAATAAGCAGCATATGAGCATATCACAGATGTTTTCAGTTTTTATTTGCAAAACTTAAGGATTTCAAACAAATAAGAAGTTAAATGGACCACTTTTTGGAAAAAAACACCCTTTTAATTCAATAACCTCGTAAAGAAAACCATGCAGTCAAAATAATCCGTGCTGAATCGTACATAAAAGAAGTAATGGTAGAAAGGTTATAAATGTCGTTCTCGGCGAAACTATCGCTTGTTTGTTTCCGGCAATGTTTCAATGAGGTGCTGGCTCAAAACTCATTTTCGGGAGCATTTCGGCTTTAAAGGGGAAAATATACTAAGTTTTACTATGCTCTTCGTTTTGGTATAAAGTGGTGTATTTTAACTATGCATGTTTGGCGCCAAGAAAGGTGATAATCAGTTGGACAATCTTTGATAGCACGCAGGAAGATGAGTCGGAGTTTCCCATCCTAACGCGCAAAGATTTCCCAAGATTGGTTTGGCACTGTATTACAAGAGCATTTTGTCAACGTACTAGTCATTTTTGTTTTTTTTCGAATAATACTCACTTTATTTGCTCCACTTACATAAAGCTGACCATAATCGTAATTTTTCGGTTGTTGTTGATAACTTCTTAGTGAACTATATCTCATCTGTCTGCTATAGGCATTATAACCTTCCAATTGTGAAGCGGTAAACGTGAGGTAGGTGATACTTGACCATTTGGTCGAGATAAATGAGAGGATCCTTTGTTATTTTTGAGGAAGACACCTTTCCTAGCCGAAGTAGGCAAGCGATTGGAGGTTGTCGTTAATATAACGAGAACAGAGGCCATAATAAATTAATGACTCCAAAGTTTGCTTTTTCCATTACATTAAAATTAGAACTCATTTTGTCAACTTCCCCGGTTTAGTTAGTCGACATTCGACATTCGCAATGAAACTTATTATGTAGCGTCTCGTATGAAGCGTTATCCTGAACGCTGGCCATCTTCGACGCGTTTATCATCAGATGAAGTGTTTTCAAACCACGGCTATGTCGTTCGTTCTTCTAGTAGATGTTTCCTGAAGACCATTTATGTTTTACAGTTTGCCCTTGGAGCAAAGAGCAAACCTGATTTGTCCTTGTTTCAACGAACATATGAAAGCTCGGAGAATATCACAAATCAAGAGCTGATTACAGAAACAATAGCTCCACTTAGATGATAATAGTTGGTGCCTTATGATACAGAAACTTACGGATGAAACTAGCCTTAACAATATTCAACAAAATATTGCATTGAGTCCGAAAGAAAACCTCGCGAACTGCCTGATTAGTTCATCGTTTGAGCCAATAGTCGGCATTGGATTTCAGACATCTATGATCTTGATACTTATTGGTGCTTATTTCAAGCGCAAGAACAAAAACAGCTTTACGACACTCTGCCAACTGCGGACCTTACAAGACTACATTTCAGATTTGCTCAGTGATTATTTTATTTTTTAGGAGACAAAAATACTTGTTATTTGTAATAATCAAACTGTTGGTGATGAAAAAACGGGCCTTCAAGAATACATAACAAACGCAATATTCCCAATATTCAGCTGCACTAATGGGAGCGACATTTTGG